TATTCTACTCTTGTGGTGGTGTATATTTCTTTTTTAAGTTCTGTTAATGTTTGCTTCGTATATTGTACAGTTTTATAATTTGGTGCATAAATATTTAATATGGTTATGTCCTCTTCTATTGACCCTTTGAGCATTATGTGATGTTCTTCCTTGCCCTTTGTGATGGTTTTTATTCTGAAATATATTTTATTGATGATTAATATTGCTGTTGTTGTGTACCTTCAAGTTGGAACTGATTAATCCTCTAAGGCATTTCAGAGGCAGTTAATCATACAGGAGGAGATTGCCCATCTTTTCTCCATGGAGCAGCTGGTGGATTCAAACATCAGGATTGCAGTGCAGCTACTTACCACTAGGTCATCAGAGTTCCCTATGAGAAACAAGGTTTTCTTAAAACACCAAAACCAACAACAACAAAAAAACCCAAAACAAAAACCCCTTAACCCCAAACAACAAACCCAAACCAAAAAAAGACAAGTTTTTCTTTCAAGACACAATTCAAAACTTTGGATTGTTTTCTACAATGCTTTTACCTGGAAGTGCTGAGATTATCTTTTTCTTTCAACACTTTAGCATGAATAGACCAAACAATCAGCTTCCTTAAATTTTTTATAACCCTAGTGACTGTGTCAATCCATCTCATCTGGGTTCTTCCTCTCCTGCACTGTCCCTTCACATTTCCAAGCATGATGTCCTTCCCCAAGGACTGGTCCTTCCTGGCCACGCGCCTAAAGTATGTGAAACAGGACTTCAAAATCCTGGCCTGCAAAGAGAAACCTGTTTGTTCTCTTCGCAGTCTATGGTATGTTCAATGTTCTTCTCTAGCACCACAACTCAAAGGCATCGGTTCTTCTACTGTTTTCCTTATTCATTGTCCAGGTCTTTGATGAATAGCAAGGAATTGGGAAGACCAGGGTCTGGATCAGATGCACCTTAACCCTACATTGACATCATAACTCTCTAGGACTTTGGAGAGGTCTCTGGAAGCAGGCTTCCTCAATACAATTTGTCTTTTGCTTTCCTGACTGCTGGTGTCAAGAGTGTTGATTGCAGAGCTGAGCAAGCTGAAATTGTTAACAACCTCAATCTCTTTTTCATCTGTCTTGACCTTTTGTAGCAAATGGTTCAGGTCCTTCTGAGTTTTAACAAATAAGGTTGTGTCCCTCTAATCCTGGTTGTTGTTCTTACGTGCTGTCAAGTCGCTTGCGACTCATAGCGACCCTATGTACAACAGCCCTAAACTCTGCTCTGTCCTGTGCCAATCGCACTGTCTCCGACACACCCATTCCGATTACCCCAATCACTGAATCAATCCACCTCATAGAGGGTCTTCTCCTCCTGTGCTGTCCCTCCACCCTACCAAGCATGATGTCTCTCTCCAAGGACCGGTCCCTCCTTACAACATGTCCAAAGTATGTTAGACGAAGCCTCAGAATCCTTGCCTCCAAGGTAACCACCCAGCTTAACCCTTTCCAGGATGAATCTGTTTGTTTTGCTAGCAGTCCATGGTACCCTCAATACTCTTCTCCAGCACCACAGCTCAAAGGCATCAATTCTCCTTCTATCCTCCTTAGTCATTGCCCAACTCTCTGATGCATAACAAGTGATAGCAAAGACCATGGCCTGTATCAGATGCACCTTAGTCTCCAGAGAGACACCATTGCTCTTCAGTACTTTGGAGAGGTCCTTAACAGCCGACTTTCCCACCACACTATGTCTTTTAATTTCCTGGCTACTGGTGCTGAGAATGTTGACTGTGGAGCCAAGCAAACGAAAGCTGTGAACAATCTCAGTCTCTTCACCATCCATCCTGATGCTGCCAATTGGTCCAGTGGTGAGAATCTTTGTCTTCAATTCATATTGAAGGCTGCAGTTCTTGACCTTCTGCAGCAAGCACTTCAGGTCCTCTTCAGTTTCAGCAAGCTGAGATGTGTCATCTGCATAACACAGATTGTTGATGAATCTTCCACCAATCCTGATGCCACACTTCTCCTCTTAGAGCCCAGCCTCCTGGATAATCTGTTCTGCATTAGGTTATGCAGAACCTAATCCTGGTACCATATTCGTTTTCATAAAGCCCAGCCTGCCTAATGATCTGTTCCACATACAGACTGAAAAGGTATGCACTCCTTTCCCCATTTTGAACCATACAATGTTTCCTTGTTCTGTTTTGAGGACTGTTTGCTGGCTCTAGTATAAGTCTGACACAAACACAATCAAGTGCTGTAGGATTTCCATCTTTTTCAAAATTAGCCAGAATTTGTTGTAATACACACAGTCAAATGTTTTTGCATAGCCAATGAAACACAGTTAGACATTCCTTTGGTAACTCTGCTTTCAGCCAAGACCCATGTGACATTGGCAATAATGTCTCTAGTGCCACGACCTCTTCTAAACCCAGCTTGTATTTCTTGTAATTCTTTACTGTACTGTCTTCAGTCATTTTTGGATAATCTTCAGCCGTATTTTGCTTGTGTTTTATGTCAATGATATTGTTTAATACCTTCTTTTCCAGTCAGTTGGCCAGGTAGTTGTCCTCCAGATTCTTGGCACAAGCTGGTGAGTATATCCAGGGCAACATTTGTTTGTTGAAATATATCAATTGGCATGCCTTCAATTCTTGGAGCCTTGTTTTTTGCCAGTTTTTCCAGAGCAGCTTGAACTTCCTCATTCATCACCATTGTCTCTTGATCATATGTTGTTTCATAAAATTCTGTCGGCCAATTCCACTTCCTCTCTTTTGCAGCAACTCCACCTTTCCAAGCATGTTACATAGAGAGCTGCTAACGGAAAGGTGCACAGCTATAACCAGACTTGCTGTTGTTAAGTGCCCTCAAGTGGCAGGCGACTCATAGCAAATCTGTGAAGGAGAGTCCTCAAAGCTTGGGTGCCTTTCATCCTCTCTCCAGGTTCATAGGATTTCCGGAGGCAAGCTATTATGGAAGTGGATGCCACTCCTCCTTCCAAGCTTGTTTTAATCAGGGAGCTCCACCCCACTCTCTGTCCGCATTGGGTAACCAACCATTAACGCATTTGACACATCAGTGTCACCATGTTAAGCTTCACAACAACTTGTACACCAGGGCTATACGACCTAGAGGAATGTCTGAACAAAAACAATGAAAGACAAGCCCGAGGGCCGCAGATTAAAGTCACTCACCTTTGGCTTGGTAGCAACGCTTTCTGTCCACTGAGCCAGCTGATCTCTCTCTGTATGTTGATGTTATTGTTGTTAAGACTTAGCGGGAAAAATATTCTGGGCTACTTAATTGAGAGTCACTATGGGTGCCATCCACTAGATGGCACTGAGTATGGTTTCAGGCTGAAAAAATTTTCCAAGAAACACTGGTAGTGCAATGATTAAGCTTCGTGGTGTTAGTGATTGGAACACATTCTTGCTGGTATTGTGCGAGGAGCAAGTCCTGGTAACCTGTTCCTTTAAAGATTCCTTTCCAGCTAGCTACGAATCTATAGCATCCCTATCTGGTGGAGGGTCCCTATGGCAGTGCACGGCTAATTCAAAAGTGGAGGATGGTTTCGAGGGAGAAAGATGGACAATCTCCTCCCTGAGATTTTTAGCATCTTAAAACCAGCTAGAGGGTCAGCTGTGAGTCATTTCCGGTAGCACCAAGTTTCTTTATTCTGAGCACCGCCTGATGCTGCATTTTAGAAATCCTTGTAGGGCAATTTTACTGACTCTTGCGGTTGTTAAACAGGCGAAATCTGCAACACCTAATAATACCACCCTATATACTTGGGTAAGACAAGTATCTATGTAAGCCTTCTGGTTACATATTAGACAGAAGTTTTAATCACTTCTAGCTGCCAAAGTTGCTCTGAAAGCTGCCAAAGTTGCTCTGAAAATTCAATGCGTTTGCACATGTTAATTTCCCAGATCCAAACAAAGAACACTCAAAAAATGGTTTTCAGTGTTTTCTACACAGACGATTATTTGTTGAATATATACAGTATATTCACTTATACTATTGCTCAAAAAGGTAAACTAAAGCCTTTTCCTTTAAGCGCCAAATGTACAGTGACCTAGCTTCTCTTTGCCCAACTTTATTCCCTCTGTATAGAAGTGATGAAGTTACTTCATAGGGAGCAGCAAAGGCAACATAAAAAAAAGAAGAGCGCCACGAGGTGGAGATACTTCCTACCCCGGGGACAGCCCTGCAGCAAATCTCGTACTCTTGAGTTACTGACGGGTCATCTGAATCACCCAGTTTGCTTATTTTCTTAGAGCCCGGTCCTCCCAGACGTGATTCGACCACTGGTAACACAGCGTCTTCGGAGCCCCAGCCAATCAGGACCTAGCGCCCTGGAAAGGAGCGGAGGGCCGAGTTAGAAGAGTGTGGCGCGGCCGGGGGAGGGCGAGAGGCGCTTTGCGTGCGGCTCATCGCGGTGGCAGAGGTAAGATGGCGGCGGGGCTTGTTCTTGGCCCTTGCGGTTAGGGAGTTGTTTAGCCATTCTAGCCTCGGAAGCGGTCGTTCCGCCTCAACTAGCGGCAGAGTCTCGCATTCCTTTTTTTTGGTTCTTTGGAGCCCGATTCTCCTGTGCTTAGAGCTCTAGGACAAAATGGCGCTTGCGCCGGTCGCGGAGGACGGGCAGGCCCCAGCTTGGGCTCCGAGGCGGGCTGGGACAAAGGCGGGCGTGCTCGGAGGCGGGGCGCGGTTCTGCTGCGAGGCGACCGCGTGGAGTTGGGGCTGGTTCTTCTCCCGGCGCCGCAGCTGTGCGAGTCCTTGATACACGGTGGACGAGTCCCTGACACACGGTGGACGTGGACGGAGAGGGAGAGGTTCGCGACGAGGCGAATTCACTGAAGGCTCAGGAAAGTCTGAGGGGTTGAGAGTGCTACAGGGAAGTTAGGGAGAGGACTTTGCGAGACCGGTTTCTAATTGTCCTTTAAGACATACCTCGTGGGCATTGAAGATACTGCAGGGAAGGGTTTGGGTTTCTTTTGGAAAGGGTAAGAGGTTTCTGATCTTTTTGACCCGCAGGTTTTGGTATGAACAGGATTCGGATTCACGTTTTGCCAACCAATCGGGGGAGGATCACTCCAGTGCCTCGGTCTCAGGAGCCCCTGTCTTGTTCATTCACTCATCGCCCATGCTCTCAGCCTCGTCTGGAGGGACAGGAATTTTGCATTAAGCATATCCTTGAAGACAAGAATGCGCCTTTCAAGCAGTGTAGTTACGTATCGACCAAGAATGGAAAAAGATGTCCTAGTGCAGCCCCAAAGCCTGAGAAGAAAGATGGGTATATATGTATAACTCTATGATTCTCTTTCGTAGTTTTGGTTTTAAAGTGGGGAGGAGATGTTCTGTGCAGTGTCTGGGATTCAGGTTATGCGTGTGCTGAAAATTACAGGCACACCCCAGGTATATTGTGGGTTTAATTTGGGGCCATGCCAGTAAAGGGAATAGTGCGATATAGTGAGTCTCATGAATTTTTTGTTTGTTTGTTTCTCCGTTTATTTAAAAGTTATGTCTACTCTCTAGTGTGGTTGAAAGTTTTGTCTCTACACTTGTAGTCTGTTAATTATGCAATAATATTATGGAAAGTTTGAAATACTGTGATAATGAGCATGATGTGGCAAAGAGGCTCGAGGTGAGCACATGGTCTTGGGAAAATGGCATTGACAGACTTACCCAGTGCAAAGTTACTGCAAAACTTTTAATTTGTACAAAATGCAGTGTGTACGAAGCCCTGTAAAGCTAAGTGCAAAAGAGATAGGCCTGTAGATTGAAAATTGGAAAGAAAAAAAGACCCACTAAAACAAAAAAAGACCTGGTGAACTTGCAAGAGTTAAGGGAAAACATTCAGAAAGATGGAAGAGAAGGGATATTCTGTGTTATTGTTAACTCAGGTTTGTGACTCTAGGTTGGTCATCCATTAACTTTGCTAAAAGAATACAAAATATGTGCATTCCTCTGGGGGAGGCATCCTGGCTTTCATCATTCATGACTATAAAAATTAATTTCCGTTAAATGATTTCGCTTGTATCTTAATTATAAAATTGTGCCAAATTTTAACTACAATGGATTAATACTGAAGTACAGTGTTTACCATTAACTCTTAAAAGTAGTCTTCCAGAACCAGTTTTTTTTTTTAATCTTTTATTATTTGTGTGTGTGCGTGTACCATCAAATCAGATCTGACTGGTACAGGAGGAGATTGTCCCTCCTTCCCCGGCAGAGCATCTGGTGGATTCGAACCTTGCGCCTCTGGGATTGCAGTGCAGCTTCTTGCCACTAGGCCACCAGAGCTCCCCCAGAACCAGTTTTGAAAGATCAGCGTGGCTCTCTTTGATTTGTTCTGAGATGATGTCAGCATTTTTAAGGTTGTAATGGAACATTGGCTTATGTTATTGCTAATTCTTTTACCTGCATTTGTCTTTAATAATACCTTAATTGACCTTAGTGCCAAGTCTGATTCATTGCGATTTTAAAAAATAGTCATTTTAATTTTATAAACTGGAGGCAATGTGAGTATGAAATGTTAATATTTTGCCTCATTAGGGTGTCCTTCTGTGCTGAACATGCTCGGAGGAATGCCATGGCACTTCATGCCCAAATGAAGAAGACCAACCCAGGGCCTATGGGTGAAACACTCTTGTGCCAACTGAGTTCATATGCCAAAACAGAGTTGGGTTCTCAGACTCCAGAAAGTAGCCGCAGTGAAGCCAGCCGAATTCTAGGTAAGAATTCTTTAAGAAAGAAAAGAAGTGAAGAAAATGTATTTGGTGCTTGGTAATTTAATTGATTCATTGGTAATTGGGGAGAATTCTAGGATTGCTAACATTTTTACCATTTCTTTAGAATTTCTATAGAATGCTTAGTTGATGACTTTTCTTTCATTGCTGTTTTTATGTTTAACAGCTTTGCAGTTTCAGGAAGGTGGCTTGCATAGTTGATGAAATTACAATCTTAATGAATTTTAAAATTAATAAAACTGGGATTTATGTATATTTAAAATGATTTACTATTGCCTTTGTACTGTTTTGGGTGGTTTCGGGTATTCTGATCTTGTGTAGTGGAGTTGAAGAGGTGAAATGTCTTAGTGGCTCCTTTCTCTTATCTCAGATGAAGACAGCTGGAGTGATGGGGAGCAAGAACCCATTACTGTGGATCAAACATGGAGAGGTGACCCTGACAGTGAAGCTGATAGCATAGACAGTGATCAGGAAGATCCTCTGAAGTGAGTTGCAACTACATATGTAGCTATTGATTATCTTATGTAATTGGTAAGTGAAGGGTGGAGGGTTGGAAGGAGTGGAAGACCTTTGACCAGGTGGATTGATGTGGTGACTGCTGCAGTGGGCTCTCGTGTATGTCAGGGAGTGTGAGGATGGTGCAGCATAGGACAGGGTTCAGATCTTTATTCATAGGACAGCATCTAACAACAATAACAACAACAGTTAGTATGTAAGAGATGGTACTTCATGTTGTGTTATTGTATTATTAATCTTAGACTGGTTGAAGACAGATATATGTAAGCAGTAATAGCTCACATATGAAAGGGTCATGGTTTATTACCATGATAAACATTATCTCTTGGAGATAATTAGCTAATTTAAGATGTTAAAGCTGATACTTAAACACTTGAGTTCTCTGTAATTTTAAGGTGCTGTCAAGTCGGAACTGATTTATAGCTGATGGGTTTTCAGAGGCAGTGAATCTCACAAGAGGAGTTTGTCCATTTTTCTCCTGCAGAGCACCTGGTGGATTTAAACCATGTGCCTTTGGATTTGCAGCACAGCTTCTTAACACTAGGCCCCAGAGTCTCCAACTAATGTAGGTATTGTTACACAGAAGGTCAAGGACTGTAGCCTTCAATATGGATTGAAACTCACCATCAAGAAAACAAAGATTCTCATCATTGGGCCGATTGGCAGCAGCGTGATAGAGAAGAAACAGATTGTAAGCAGCTTCAGCTTGCTTGGCTCCACAGTCAACAGTCTTGGCACCAGTAGCCAAGAAATCAAAAGACTAATTGCATTGGGGAAGTCTGCTGTCAGAGACCTCTTCAGAGTACTGAGGAGAAATGTCAGTCTAGAGACTTAAAGTGTGCTTTATCCAAGACATGGTATGCCTTTGAGAGCTGGACAGTGACTAAGGATGATAGAAGAAACATCAATGCCTTTTAGTTGTGGTGCTGGAGAAGAGTATTGATCATACATACCATAGACTGCCAAGAGAACAAAATAGGTCTGTCCTGGAAAGGGTGAAATCAGGCTGTAAAGATTTTGAATTTCTGTTTTATACTCTTTGGGCACATGCCAGGAAGGACCAGTTCATGGAGAAGCAGGAGAGGAAAACCCTGGATGAGATGGATTGACACAGTAACTTGAGATAATGGGGTAGGTGTATCAGAGACTGTGAGATTGTATTAAGGATAAGACAGTATTCAGAGCTGTTGTACATAGGGTTGCTATGAGTCACAGGCGACTTGACATGTAATAGTAACAACACTATAACAGCAGCGGGGGAAAAAACCAAGTATAAGTGCATCTACTCAGTTCAACCTGGTGTTTTTTTTAAGGGTCACCTGTAAATTATATTTGCATTTTTGGCTGCATGGGAGATCAGTCCCTCTTAACGCCTGAGTGATTCAAGGGTTGGCTGTTACTTTTAAGCTATCATGATTAGTGATTCTTCTTTATTAACTCAATAAATGAAAGAATATAGATTTGTAAGAATTTTGCGTATTCCATGTCTTCACTGTCTTCAAGCATAATGCATATAATTAAGAAAATACATAAACTCTTATCCCATTTTGTGATGTCACACATTCCTGTCCATTCCTGTTTACCTTTTCCCCAAAATTGAGATCTATTTTATGTAACTTTTCCTTATATTTTCTATCTTTTTAATTTGAGGGAAAGTTTATATAATTTGTTTTAGAAATTTTTTCTTCTTTTTGATTTACAAACATTTTTTTAATTTCCATTCATTCATTGTTGTACTTTTCTCCCTTCCCAATCCTCCCCTGCCCCAGTACACTACCCTATTGGAAATGTAAAAGAAAAATTCTTTCATTGTTTTACAATCCTTCCCCCCAGGTCCACTCCACTATGCAGCCTTTGTTCTGGACTCCTGTCATGACAAAAATATCTAAGCACATATCCCTTTTAAGCAGTTTTATCACTCTTGTGTTTCAGTGCAGTATACATTATTGAACCCATTTTTCTCAGTCTCCCCCCAACCTCGAGGTCAGTCCGGTTTTACAACAGTGGCACCATACAGTATTTGTCCTTTTGTGACTGAGATACTTCACTTAGCATAATGTCCTCCAGGGTCACCCATTTTGAATAATGTTGCATGAATTCCTTGTTTTTCAATGCAGCGTAGTATTCCATTGTGTGAATATACCATATACATTAATTACAATGTCTTACAAACCCCTTACTATATTTTGCCTTTCCTTTAACCCAACTTAGCCATTTATTAATTTGTATTCTCTTATCCTTCCATTCCTATACTTGGTAACCATTCTTGTTTTTCTTTTAATAATGAAACTTGAATAATAAAATTGTGTGAAAGCATTTCCTGTGTAGAAAGATCTGAACAGTGACTACTTTCTAACCTCTCTACTTTTAAACTGGATATTTTATATTTTCTGAATTCTCTTAACTTTATTTCAGGCATGCTGGTGTCTACACAGCAGAAGAAGTGGCACTAATAATGCGTGAGAAGTTAATTCGTTTACAGTCCCTTTACATTGATCAGTTTAAACGACTTCAGCATCTCCTCAAAGAAAAGAAGCGCCGTTATTTACATAATCGGAAAGTAGAACATGAAGCTCTAGGCAAGTTTTGTGGCAATTCTCACAAAGCTTATCATGGGCCCAACACATGGATTTGGTAGTGGTTAAATTTATTTCTGTCTTGGTGCCATGTTGGGGTAGGGATTGGGGTTGGGATGTTGTGTGCTTTAAAACTTCCTGACAAGGAGTAAACAGATTTAAAAAAAAAAATTTTTTTTAATTTCCATTCATTTGTTGCACTTTTCTCCCTGCCCACCCCTCCCCTCCCCAGTACACTCTTCTCTTTTTTTTGAAAGGTAAAAGAATAATTCTTTGATTGTTATACAGTCCTTCCCCCCAGGTCCACTATGCAGCCTTTGTTTTGGATTCCTATCATGACAACAATACCTAATCACATACCCCTTTTAAACACTCTTCTCCCTCCTCTGTTTCAATGCAGTATACATTATTTATCCCATCTTTCTCAGTCTCTCCCCAGCCCCAATGTCAATCCCATTTTACAGCAGTGGCACTATGCAGTATTTGTCCTTTTGTGACTGAGATATTTCACTCAGCATAATGTCCTCCAGGGTCACCCATTTTTGAATAATATTTCGTGAGTTCCTTGTTTTTCAATGCAGCGTAGTATCCCATTGTGTGACTATACCACAGTTTCTCTATCCATTTGTTTGTTGATGGGCACTTGGGTTGTTTCCAACTCCTTGCTATTGTGAACAAAGCCACTATAAACATGGGTGTGCATATGTCTGCTTGGGTGGTAGTTAGGGTATCTTTGGGGTATACTCCCAGTAGTGGGATTGCTGGGTCAAATGGTATCTCTATTTGCAACTTTTTGAGAAAGCGCCACACCTCCTTGCACAGTGGTTGCACCATTTTACACTTCCACCAACAGTGAATAAGAGTTCCAGTTTCTTCACAACCTCGCCAGCATTTGTTGCTTGCTGTTCTGTTAAATTTTGCAATTCTTAATGGGGTGAGATGATACCTCATAGTTGTTTGGATTTTCCTCTCTTAGAGCTAGGAATTTTGAACATTTCTTTATGTGCTTGTTGGCCATCTGAATGTCTCTTTGGTGAAGTGTCTTTTCATATCCTGTGCCCATTTTTCAATTGGATTGTTTATCTTGTGGTGGGAGTAAGCAGATTTTTCTGTTTTTTTGTTACTTTGGATTGATGATTTTTATTGACTCTTCTCCAGGTAGTAGCCTCCTTACTGGCCCAGAGGGACTCTTGGCTAAAGAACGTGAGAATTTAAAACAACTAAAATGTCTCCGTCGATACCGTCAGCGCTATGGAGTGGAAGCCTTACTACACAGACAGCTGAAGGAACGCAGAATGCTGGCCACAGATGGTGCCGCTCACCAGGTAATTTGTGTATATACTTCTAAGATATATACATTTTAAAGCTTTATATGGAAAGTTAAGGTATTTGTCAAAGCACTTGTCCAGTTTTGAGTCTCAAGCCCTGATTTAAGGGACAATGTCATGAAAAGACCCCTTAACTCAAAGTTAAGGGACATGGGCTTGAGGGACTATTGACCACCTCTTTTATCTTCATTAATTCTCATTATTTTCATTGCTTTCTAATTTACTCATTTGAGAAATTCTTTAGAAACAGGCACATTTTAAGCCAAATTTTTTTTTTATTCCTGTTCTTAAAGCTGGAAATATAGATATAATGGGACCAAGTGAATGTTAGAAAATAATGTTGTTAGGAAACATTAAGTGATGTTGAGATTTTGTTAACACTTCACATAAGATGATACTTTTAAAAAAAAAGATGATACTTTAAAGGGATTGCTGCTAAAAGACAAATTAGCTTGAAAGCTACTGGACTATTCCATGCTTTTACAGTATGGTGATGTTTTAAATAAATACTGTTATCATAGATAATTGACTATATGTCTGTTTGTGAACTGTCTATATTAATTCTTTGTCTTTTCATTTTAGGCCCATACGACTCGTTCCAGTCAGAGATGCTTGGCATTTGTGGATGACGTTCGTTGTTCTAATCAGTCTCTTCCAATGACCAGACATTGCCTTACTCGTATCTTTTTACAGTTTATTCAACCTCTGATCTGTTAGCTAGGGTGAGGGCTGTGGGGAATCTTAATCTTAATGATGAGTTAATTTGTATAATTGAAAACCTTTAATTGCCTTTGGCCCTGAATCAAGACCAGCAGTTTGATGGAACTATTGGTTTCAAGCAGGAGCCTAAAGAAATACCTTCCTATGGTCTGTTGGCCATTTCAGAACTTTGGAAGTGTAATGGTCAATTCATTAGAAAGAAACAGCTCAGTCATTGCTGATAAATACAGTTGTTTGTAATTTTAGGATTTCAGAATATAGGGATACCTGTTATGATGCTTTCATTAGAATTATAATGCTGTGATCTGTTACCAAAAAGTCACCGGATGGGTTTTCTATCCAAAACAGGACAGTTGTGGACTCTGACCCTCCTTTTGATAGTGTCCCTTTGTGTGGTCAGGACCCTAACAACTATTTTCAACTATCCAAATTAGAAATATGTGCTTTCTCTCCCTCTTTTGAATTAATAGCTTTTATATCACAGTGTATCTTGATTCTTCTAAGAACACAATTACCATTGTGTTTCACAAAGTTTGGAGTTGTTCATTGAGTTGTAAAAGTGTATCTTTATTATGGACATTGATTTAAAAAGTTACTTTCATAGGAAAGACATTTGCTGATTAAGTATATATGAGGCAGTGATTTTACTGGATTTCATTTGCCTTGCAAGAGATGTCAAGTATTTAGAAAGTATAAAATATGTTTTCTTTAGTAGGAAGGGCCCTGCATTCTGCAGTGCAGTGTGCTGCTGGCCCAAAGCCAGCCAGCCCCTCTGGAGGTTCTAATCCACCAGTGGCTTCTGCAGGAAAAAGATCGCTAATCACTTTTCTTTCAGTTTACAGCTTAGGAAAACCCTCTGGAAGGTCAGCAAGGATTCGGTTCTGATTCTTTGGCAATGAGCTTGACAACCTTCTTCTGGTCTTTTGACAGGAAAACATTTTCAAACTTTGAGATTATAATATAGTTTGTTAGTCATGTCAGTAAATGTCTGAAAGGATTTATGAAATATTTGTGCAAAATAAAAACTTTAGAAATTAATGTTAAAAAACATAATTGGGTGAAGAGAAAGTACACACTAAGGGATTGGTTAAGTTTTGGAATTATATTAATTGTTTTAAAGTGAATGAAGAAGCAATGTGTTAGGTAAACCTTCACTCAAAAAAAGCTAAATCTACAGACATTTAAAAATAGGTGATAGTTGCAAAGTGTTCATTTTTTACTATAGACAAATGAAAAACTTACGTGTAAAGTTAACATTAGTATATGCAGTGTTTTAAAATAAACTTTCAGTTAATGAGAATTTCAGAAGTTGAAGAGGCTGTATGTAGTTAAGTGCACACTATTAAATACTGTCAACCAATTTAGGTTCACATTTTGAGGAAGCAGTTGGACATTATTCTTTGTTGTAATAGTTCCACCTTTGGGAACTGTTTTAAGCAAACAAATGTTTCTGTTTTTATAAAATAATATCCAACTGAAGACAGCCTTAAAATTTTCAGAGATCAGCAGTAGAAGTAAATTATGACACTAATGTAGACTGTTAAGGCACAAAATGTTAACAGCAGTTGTGAGCATGTAAAAATTTTTGTATAGTTTGTGATTTGAACTGTTTAACAGTCCTGGGAGCGAAGAACTGTAATGATAGAAAAAGTGTAATCGCTTTTAAGTGGTGGGATTAGCCTTTTTCTCCCTCTCTGCTTTAAACTTTCCCATTTTCTTTAATAAACATATTTTTTCCTTTATTGTGGGGAGAAAAACCTAAGTTATAGATATTAGACATTTCTTAAAATGTGTTGTTTTCATGAATGTTGTTAATTTAAAAACAAAGTTGGAAGTGGAATGTATTTGAAAAGAGAAAGGAAGTGCTTATTTTCCTTTTGTGTTTTCCTTTCCACGCCGTAGTTGCCTAAGTCACTTACCCTTCCTTAAATCCTTACCCCAGAGAAACATGCGATTGCCATCGGTGACCCGGTAACTGTTTAGCTAATGGAGACAGCACTGGACTGAAAGTGAAGGACCCAGACTCTAGTTGTAGGTCAACCATTCCCTTCTTTTTGTCTCTTTTCCCCTTCGAAAAGGAAAATGGGTGGAGGAGGATGGGAGAGGGGGAGGATTTTTCCAAGATAATCTGGTATTAAGACAAAAGTCCTTAGAACTCCATGAAAAAGAACTCTGGCTGAACCGTTTAGTTGATTGAGCTAACATTGTAAATACTAATATTTAAATGACATGGGACTTCTTAAGCACCCTAGGAACTACTTAGATTTTGCAAGTCATTGTTGCCATTGATTCAACAAATACTGTTTGTTCTGCATTACCTCCTTTCCCCAGTTTTCATCTGGGGCCCCAGGGGAAGTTTAGCATGCCTGCAGGCATTTTTGCTTGTCTTTGCTGGAAAGGAGTGGTACTTCTGACATCTAGTGGTTAGAGGTCAGAATACACAACTCCCTGTAGTAAAGAATTACTTGACCTCTGAAGTTACCAGTATTGTTGAATTTGTGAGGCCTGCCTTTATATTCTGGCTGTCCTTGAAGAAAAAACTTTGAAGGGAATGACTAAGGACATTTTATTTATTTGATTTTAAAAGATTGTGTTTTAGATTTTTTTTTTTTTAGTTTTGAAAATCCCGTAATTTTTTGGATAATATAACCTCATAATTCCATACACCTGGATTCAGGTAAAGAGAATTGTGCTTTCTGATGAAAATTTTCCCCAAATATAAAGTAATATTTGTCTCTTAAACTAAAGGAAGTCATTGTGTAGTTAAGATAATGAAGATTTAAGTGTATTTTGTAGAATAACTTGAATGGGAAGTTTTTTATTTTTATCTAATTCATGATTTCAACTTTGATTCATTCTACAGAGCTTCTTTATCAACCTGGAAATATTAGCCATTCTTGACTTCTGCCTTTACTAGAATTTGTTAGAGCACCTGGAGTATTTTTATGGGCCCTCCCAAAGAAAATGAATTATCTTCCTCTTTTTCTCTTTAGGATTATTCTCAGAACTCTTTCCTGTACTGCCTCTTTTAAAAAAGAGTATTTAATATCAGGCTGTGATAGGCAGTTACTGTTGAGGCAGTATTGATTCGTGATGACCCCATTTATATCAGAGTAGAACTTCATAGGGTTTTCAATGGCTGATTTTTCACAAGCGCATTTCCTTCCAGACCCTTCTTTCAAGATGCTTTTGGCTAGACGCAATCCATTTTCTCAGTGCATTTCTTTAAAGGAATGAATGAATGGAAATGTAGCATTGGAAATGAGGTCCAAGAGTTTGTAAAACTTCTAACTAGTCAGCTTAAGAGCAGAAACAACATGGTTTCTCTAGGAAAGGGCCAGTAGGAACCTCGTTACTTGAATTTTCTATACTCTGAATAGTACTGGGTTCCTAGGAGTGTTGCTTGCTACTTGTAGGCACTGCATTTGTAGAAGTTTTATAGTTTATTCCTGTAAAGGAAGGAAGCCCTGGTGGCTTAGTGGGTAGAGTCTTGCTCACTTTTGAATTCACCTGCTACTATGAGGGAGACAGTTGAGCAGTCTCCCTCTGTGCATAAACCTCTTGGAGGGTCATTGTGTCATTTCAACTCAGCAGCAGTGAGTGAGCAAGGGCTATGATCTCAGAAGGAGGCACAGGATTAGACTAGCATCTGAAACAAGTTAGAAGATTTTAGTTTGCTGCTAGAGCTAGGATTGTTATGTATTGTTGAGTTGAAAGGGACTTGTAGCTGAGTCTCCAGTGTGCGTTTATAGGTGTAAATATAATGAGAGGAGATTGTTCTTCCTTTTTCCTGCTGAGCTGATAGATTTGGACATCATGCCTTTGGATTTGCAGCGTAACTTAACACTAAGCCACTAGAGTTCCCTAGAGCTAGGATTAAATGCTAAGTGACACTCATTTTGAGAAATTACATAATTTATTAAAGGCATTTGATATTCTGTGTTGAATTAGTTATTTTGTGTAGTCCAGACTTGGAGTTTTACTCAGATGATACTGAGTATATGGCTTTTTGTATTTTATCTCTCCATTAGATTCCATTTTATTTCCCTTGACTATTTTATTCTACAGACATTTGTCAGGATACGAATCAGGTTCTCTTCAAATGCTGCCAGGGGTCAGAAGAGGTACCCTGCAACAAACCAGTTCCTGTAAGCCTCTCTGAGGATCCCTGCTGCCCCCTGCATTTCCAGTTGCCTCCTCAGATGTATAAGCCCGAGCAGGTACTGTCTGTGCCAGACGATCTGGAAGCCTGCCCCATGGATCTGTACTTGAGTGCTGCCGAGCTTCAGCCCACTGAGAGTTTACCTCTGGAGTTCAGTGATGTAAGTTAGAGGAGCTCTGCTCTGGTTAGTCCCTGAGACAGGCCTTATTTATTAAAGATGAGGAAAGGTTAGTCTGTGTTAACGAGAGCTGATAACAATTTTTTAAAAAATAGTGTATTTATGGTTGTATATGCAAAGCATATTTGTTTAGGGATTCTATAAACCCAGCCTTATTTTCCATGCTTTCTTTCCCAGTTTATGTTTTAAAACTTATACATATTTCACATAACCATAATTCACTCTTTAAAATATACAGTTGAACCTTTCCATAAACCTTCATTAAAATCACAGTTTTAATAAAAAGTATACAATTTAGTGTTCCTTTTTCAGATCTACTCAGAATCATCACTGTTTAATGTTAGGGCATTTTCATCATTAAAAAAAGAAACCCAACCACCAGTTAGCAGTCTTCCCTTAGTTGCCTGGTGCTGCTTGTTGTGCACTCTCATATGACCGCTAGCTGGCTCTCCAGAGGCAAGTTTTCAGAGGCAGTTATCAGCACTAGAGGAGATTGCCCATCTTTTTCCTGTAGGACAGCTGGTAGATTTGACCCAGATACCTTTGAGTTGCTAGGGCAACTCCTAAACCTCCTTACCACTAGGCCACTGTCTACTAAAAGTGAGTGTCTTTTAACACACATATTTATTTTCTCACAGTTTAGGAGACCAGGGTGCTGGTGCTGGTGCTGGGGGACACATTTCTTGGCTAGCCGTGGAAAAAGATCCGAGTGGCTACTTCTGCTCCTAGACAATCTTTGTGTCTTGGCATCTCTCTTCTTCCATGTGTTTCTCTTTGCTTGCTTGTTCTTGAAAGATCCTCTTTTAAATACCTTAAAAGAGACCGATTCAAGATGTCGCCTAACATAAAACAGCCTATTCCCAAATGAGATTATAACATTGGTATAGAAGATAGGATTGACAAATCCTTTCTTTTTTTCCTTTTTGTACTGGTTTACAACCATAAAATACACTTTATAATATATAGTATACTTTATACAAAGTTTGTATACATTGTTTTTCACTACAACTCATTTTTGAAAGGACACATTTCAATTCATTATATACACTCCCTTAGTTAAATAGAAAGCTTTTGTCTTTGTTGTTGATTGCCATCAAGTTGAGCACGACCCTATGAACAAAAGGCCTGAAGCCTTTTTATAACTATTGTCATTTATGAAAGTTCATAGAGTTTCTAGAAGCATGTTGTTTAGGAAGTGGATTTCGACTTGCTTCTTCTGGACATGTAAATGTAATTATTTATTATGTGACTTTTTGTGTCTGGTGGTACATACTTAATGTTCTCAAGATCTATCCGAGTTGTTAGATGTTTCAGTACTTTGTTCCTTTTTATGCAATATTATGTAATATATAAAATGACACATTTAAATTGAAAAATCATTGCAGGCTGTAAGATTATTTAGGAGTAGAAGTAGGATTTGGGTGGCCTAAAAATATTTTATAAAAGAGGTATACAACAACATGTGTGTAAAAATGGCTCGTTTTTGTTAGGTGCCATTGGGTCAGGTACAACTCATCTGAACCATTTCTTATCCTTTGCTATCCTTACACACACTGACACACCACAGCCTGTAGCTCTACTCAGTGTGTCCACCTGGTTGAGGATCTTCCTCTCTTCTGCCATCCTTCCACTTTTGTAAACATGATGTCCCTCTCCAAGGAATAGCCTCTCCTAGCACCATGCACCAAGCGTGTGAGACAAAACTTTGTCTTTGTTTCCAAGGAGCACTGTGGCTGCACTGTGCCCAAGACATATCTGTTTGTTCTTTTGGTAGTCCATGGGCTGTGGGGGCTTTATTTAAGGGAAGTACAGGTTATAATTCATGGACAAGAGCTTGTAGGATACAGTTTTTTAATTAGGACATTTTTTTCTCAGACACAGGCAGGTCTAGGTCTCTGTCTATCCTATAACATGTCGGCCTAGCTTTTGTCCTTGGTCAAGTGTTAACGAAGCTCGCTCAGATCTGCTAAGTGCCAAGAGCTGCCCCGCAAGCCTTCTGTTTCACTTACTAGGTTAGGAAACCAGCTACACTGGCTGCTTATCTCCTGGTTCTGCTACCACTGTGTTTTGCCGTCTTGCTTGTTCTTCCTGTGTTCTGGATTTAGGAGATTCTCATTTCAGGGATCTTGGGATCAAAGGATGCACTTTGTTCTGGGCTTTTAATGATAGTGAGATTCACTTCCTGCCTCTGAGATGGCCTATATTAAGTAATTTACTGCACCACTAATACTTAAGGTAAAACCAACACATGGATTTTACAACCTTTGAATATACTATTTAAGATACCAACCTTTGTCTAATTGTTTCTTTCTAGATCCATTGCTGTTTTGAGAATTTTTCTTGTTTGTATTTTGAGTTTTTAAGCACTTTTTACTTGAGTTTTTGTTTACTTGGTATATAAAAATATTTCCACATTTATTAGATTTTAAATGATGGTGGGGTTTATTTTCCTCCTAAACTTAATAATAACCTAGATTTAAAAAAATATGGCTTCTAATATTTTCAGAGATTACTATGTAAGTGTTTACGACTCTGGAGAATGTGAGAAAAAAAATTACTGATTAATTAATGAGACGTAATCATAGGCTATTTCTTGACAGTTATTTAATATTAATTGAAAAAAAAGTATTAATTTATGGCATGAATTTTTCTAAGTTGAATCCAGTAAGACCTTTGTTAAGAGGTTTAAAAGTGAAAACCAATCAGCTTTTTTTTTTAAGCAATCAGCTTTTTTAGTAGCCCATTTAATATGTCCATATAATTCTAATTGGATACTTTTTGTTGTCGCATTGGTCTTAAGTATTAAAATTTTTTCTAAATTTTTTGTATTGTATTTTATTTTTTCATTGTTGTATATTTTTTCTCCCCCGCCTTTCCCCTTCCTGTCCTCCCCACAATGCATTCCTTGTTCCAGATTGTTGTCAAATATATTCTTAATTTTTGTGGGACTTAATATTCTGCAAAAAGTAACCCCCCAAAAAATGTACCAAAACAAAGTTTGGTTTTAGAAGTAAGTTTTTGTCTTCATAAATTTTGTATAATTTACTGTCATAAAATTTTACTTAAAAAGCCCCAAAGGACTTATTTAGCCAACATTAAATTCATTAAGTACATTCAACAGTATTTGCTCATTCAACAGTATTTTAGTCATAACTCCTGGTAACTTGTCAGAAGAACAAACATGGAAAGATTCAGGTTGGTTTCTTTCTTTTTTTATTTTTATTACTTTTATGCCTTCTAATCAGATCCAGCTGTCACAGGAGGAAATTGCCCCTCCTTCTCCAGCGGAGCATCTGGTGGATTTGAACCACGTCAGGTTTCTGTTAAGACTATTTTGTGGTTCAATCCCAGGAGACTGGCAGATAGCAACTTCATACCTTAATCTTACTTACTTTCATATTTCTGTCTTCCTCCTCTTTTTTTCTGAGTTTTCAACTCTATTTCTGAGATAATAATAAAACATGAACTCTGTTCTGAGACTTTAGCCTTCTGACATTCCTGTTATAGTCAATTTTGCTAATTGAGCCTTTTATTTTACTTTCCAATTTTAGTTCTTATAAAAGTATTTCCTGTGAGTGAGAAAGCCTTTCCACTTGTTTCTCCTGTTATCTTGAGACTGGATTGGTTGTATTCCACAGCTCTTCAAGTAGTTTCTTTTAAATTCCAATGATTGATGCACTTGTGCCTAGTAAAATTGCAGAAAACAGATTTTTAGAATCTTTGATGTAACACTGATTTTAGTAGAACTCTCCCTTGTTTTTAGAAAATTTTCTTTATACTGCTTTCCTTTTATGGAAGATCTGTTTTCACTTAAGTGAATGAAATCCGAAGATTTTTTTTAAAAACGAATTTTTAAAAAAAAACAAAAAACGAATAGTGACAGAAATTGAAAACTAGTTTTCAGCATTTGCCTTTCACCTTTCTAAGGTGGTGTGTGAGAGTGGTGGTGGAAAGCTCCTTCCCAGGAGTTCTCACGGTTGGGCTTCTGTGGTTTTGAACTGTGTGTGAACATTTTAAGTGTTATTCAGGTTCTGTGTGTTAATTTCATTTGAATAGTCTTTCTCATATAGGTTAATTGTTGACTGCTTTTTTCATGCCATTTTGGCTTTCCTAGAAATGCTGTACCTTCACGTATCAGCAATATTTATACACAAGTTTCCAGGCTTCTGAGAAGGACATTAAGTAGGGTTGCTAGGTCTTTTAACTTCTATTTCTGCTTAAATTGAGTTACTTTTAAGTCTAACAAGTTTTTTACTATTTTTTAATTATTAGTTAAAAAATAACTATTGATGGTACTGAACCATATTTCTTAATTATTATGAAAATGTGCATCTCATTTCTGGTGTGTTTGACACTGGAAAAGGGGAAAAGATGGTGCATTCTTAGATTTTAAAAGCCTGGAAGCTCATGAATCTAGATCTGGAAAAACAGAACCTCTGTGACTGGTGTGGGCCCAAGGGAATGTATACTCTCATTAGATGTTTTAAACTTTTTGGATGAGTTTAGTATTAGCACTGTGGAAAGCAGTAGTTATGAAGCTTAGTTGCTTTTTCTGAGCTTTTATAGCACCTTAGGCCCTGAATCAAGACCAGTGGTTTGTTGTAGCTATTGGTTTCAAACAGGAGCCAAGAGTAGTGTCTTCTATGGTCTGTTGGCTATTCAGTACCCTAGTGGGGAATAACCAGTTCAATTGGAAGAGACATATTCTGTAGACTACAAGCCATTGTTTTTTCCCCCTTCAGTTAGTAGAGTTTATTTTTTAGAGCAGATAGCTTTGTTTCCCCCTATTTAGCTTTCCTTTTTTTTTTTTAAAAAAAAACACAACAACCCCCAAACCAAAACAGTTGGAATACATTACTTTGAAAAGCCGAAGACTTAATTTATAGGGATAGAGAGCTAGCAAAATAGTATTTTTTTTTTGTTTTCTACCTATTCAGAAGAACTTTGAGTTTTGTGATTTCCTTGAGTCTCATTGCCCAGTGTTTTAAAAGCAGTTCGGTTTCCAAAATTGGTAATTCTGCTGATTGTATTAGAGTCACCTAGAACAGCACTGCAAGTTAGGAATGTTAGATAATGACTTTCAGACTTGCTGTTAGTCTGCTCCATTTCCATTTGGTCATTATTTGAGAGTTTTACTAGGTTGGGGGCGGGGGAAGAAAAAAAAATCTCTGCTATAACTTACTAGCAATTCATTTGGAAAGGAAATAAGTATAGCCCAGGTTTGTATGAACTATTCATTTCCCTGGTGAATCTAAATGTCGAGCACAGTTAACCTTGGAGGGAGCATTTTTTTTTTTTTTAATAAATTAAGGGTAAAATAGTAAAGATTTATTAGAAAGTTACAGCTCTCCTTGAAATACAGAGTGGATGCTGGGAGTATCCTCTTTTAAACGCCACTAAAATGGTCTGTGGTTTACACTTGTAGCAGAATTCTTGGTCATTTAGGATTTTGCTCTGTTGGACATTATGAATATGTTGTGTGTATGTGTATTTATTAAAGGAGGGCAAGACGGGAAAGGGTAACAGATGAGAGAAGTGCTTTGAGAGTTCCTAGAAAATATGCTATCTTTAGTTTATTGTTTCCTTTGCTATGGCTGATAGGCTGTTCTTTTTATTTCCCTAGGACTTGGATGTTGTAGGTGATGAAATGCAGTGTCCTCCTTCACCCTTACTTTTTGATCCTTCGCTAAGCCTTGAAGATCATTCAGTTAAAGAAATTGCTGAAGGCCCAGTGGATATATTGGCAAGTAAAAAGTTGTTTTAGCCAGGTTTCCCTCATGTAGGCAGAGGGTTCCTTGTTGCTAAACTGAACTCTCAGGGAGTTTGGGTGTTACCACACGTAGAGAGTAAAGACACCCAGATGGCCTTTACTCAGTACCATATAAGGAAGACACTTTTGTAAAAAATCCAAAACAAGTGTTCCTGCCCCTGAATCCTCTTTTTCCAATTTTCTTAAATGAGCCCTTGTGGCCTATGGCCTCTACATCCCAAAGAACAGTGCATACTTTTTTACTTAACTAGAAAAAGTTGAGACAAGGAATTTAGGTAAATTTAGAGCAAATCCTTCTCTGAGCCCTGGGGTTGAGTACTAATATCAGGCCCTAACTGAAGACCAGCAGTTATACTGTAGCTGTTGGTTTCAAATAGAGGCCCAAAGAAGTATCTTCCTGTGGTCTTTTGGCTGTTCTGGAACTTTAGCAGAGATTGGCCATTTCCTTTGGAAGAAACAACCCAATCCACAGCTCTCCCTCCCATGGGAAGCCTCAGGAGTGCTACATTTACGGCCCTGACTCTCTGTCTGATCATCAAATATGGGGCAAATTGTTCATTGCTATTTTTTTTTCTTCTATATTTTATTTTCATAAACATTTACAGAGATTTTGGGTTTCCATTCATTCATTGTTGCACTGTTCATTGCTATTTTGTATTCTTGTTACCAAAAGGTCATTAAGGCTTTTTTTATCTTTGTAGTGAATGAATTTGTAACTTAGTACCTTTATTTCACTTAACAGGGCCAAATGCAGATGGATGTAGATGGATGCAGATCCCAGGGATCCCGAAACTCTGAAAAAGCGCCTGCAATGGTGCCTCAAAGTGGAGTGGCTACAGCAAATGGGAAAGCAGAACCTACGTCTGTCAGTTGATGGCTTTCTGGAAAACCATTTGACTTTGGAGGATTTAAATTCCCCACTTTCCAAACAAGTATTTCTGACCATCTTTCACTACTAAACAAGGGCAGCCCAGATTGCTTTGTTTTACTTCTGAGTTATTGGGAACTGTAGTCAAACTAATCTCATTCCTATTCTGCGCATGGAAAAGAGATGATCTGTCTTGACGCTGCTGGGATGAAATATTTGCGACTGGACCTAAGGGGGAGAGAGACATCTTTGTAATGGGATTCCTGAGTCATGGATAGGAATCTATAAAGGTGACTAAGGAGGAAACGGGGTATTGATGGATCCTTGTTCTATCCACATCCAGCAACCTGTTTCTCACCAGTCACCTAATTAGGTAATTCCTCTTGAAACCCTTTCTCTCAATGCCGAGCTATGACTTCTATCAGAAAATAGCCGATAATATTGGACCATGTTAAGTTTTTGCTTCTAACTTATATAAATTTCTGTAGGGGCAATTTTATGTAAGATATTATAAAAATCTACTGTATATAGTTTCTATTAAATATGAAAATATTGTAAAAGTGTAAAATAATATGAATTAAATGCATGTTTATTTGTATTTGAGAGTCTTGTTTTTTTTTGGAGATGAGGGCTGGTCTTAGGGAATTGTTTCTTCTTGTTGCTATGTGCCGTTGAGTAGCCTGTGAGTCATAGCAACTCTGTGTAAGCAGCTCTGAAGCCTGCCCTGTCCTGAGCCAGTCTCACTAATCCTGACACACCAACCTCCATTACCCCAGTTACTGTATCAGTCCATCTCACCCGGGGTCTTCCTCTCCAGCACTGTCCCTCCACTCTTCAAACAAGCTGTCCTTCTCCAAGGACTGGTCTCTCTGGGCCACATGCCCAGAGTAAGTGAGATGGAGCTTCAAAATCCCAGCCTCCAAGGAGAAACTTGGTTTCACCCTCTCCAAGACAGACCTGTCTTTTCTTGGCGGTCCATGGTATGTTCAAGACTCTTCTTAGTACCACAGTTCAAAGGCATCGCGCAGCGTCTTCTTCTGTCATCCTTAGCCATTGTCCAGCTTTCTGAAGCATAACAATTTTGAAGACCGTGGCCAGGATTAGGTGCACCTTAGTCTCTAGACTGACGTTGCTTTTCAGCACTCTGGAGAGGCCCCTGACAATAGATTTTTCCCAATGCAACTTCTTACTCTTGGAAAATAATCTAAGTGGCATGCCTTCTTCAGGCCTGGGATTTAAAGCATTGTGTGTGTGTTTCTCCACGCCCGTTCTTCCCACAAACTGGTGTAAGGATGTGCCTTCAATCAAGTCCTGTCCATGCAGATGAAAACAGTATTCCAGGCTAGCGCTTCTTTTAGTTTACTGTGCATAGGAATCACCTGGAGAGCTTATTAAATAAAGGATTCAGTAGGTCTACAGCAGAATGCAGATTTATTGTTCTAACAAGCTCCCAGGTGATGATAATGCAGCTGGTCTATGGGTCACACGAGGAGCAGCACAACTGTTAGATTGGTGGAGATGCATGATTTAAAGAGGCCGTGTTTCTAAATGCCTATGTAAGACAAACGATCATTTCATTTGGACTGTTACATGAGAGACAGATTAGCAGCACCATGTTTTTGGATTTTAGTTACATCAATTTAGACATTTACACCAACTACTGCCATAATCATTCCTTTCCCCTAAATCTACAATTTTCATCTGTTTCATCTTGAGCTTTCCTTCCTATGATGGAAAATAAGGTTGCCACCTTCATTAAATTAATTACTTAAGAGCTAACATCTCAAGTGCCATCAATTTGAGTCCAGATTGGGTATATCCAAGATGTCCTCAGGCAAGATTTTCCCAAATCATCTTTCTGGAAGAGATACAGGGAATGCCAGGGAAACTTTAGTGGTAGGATTGGCAAGAACAAGATTACCAGTAGAAGTTCTGCAGAAAATCTGCATCACGACCCAGCCCTTATATGCTATTTGAGACAGATGTACTTGAATAATTTTTATTTTGGAGAACAGCATGGGGGAAGATTCAGAGCCTCCAAGGATGTTGAGAAATGATTTTGTATTCTAGGGAGCCATTTTCAGAAGTCATGTTCACAATCTGACAGCTGACAGTCAGACAGGTATTTGGACAAATCCTTGTCTTGACAGTGTTTTACCCAGTCAACCCTAAGGATAGAGAAAACACCAATTAGAGATAGGTACAGGGATGTTTAGGAGGTTCAGCTGAGGGAATGTTGGGCCTCCTTGGACCAAGTCAGTTTATGCTGTAGTACAGACTCAGGAAGAATGTGCCTGTCCAGCATGTATGTTGGTTGGGTGCTCCAGCAGGTAGATGGGATGAAAACATCACAGTGCACTCTGCCTTATTTTAACTTCAGAAGGATAATCTCAATCCTCAAATACAAGAGAATATCCTTCAGCATAGTGGTGGTTTACCTAGTATTCCAGGTACCATTTGGACCCATTTTTGACAGAGTGGCTGATCTCTGCCCTTACGTGTCCCTTACCAGGCAGACATTCCGTTAGAATCTTCTACAACTCTCTTGACACAGCTGATGTCGTCATCAATGTCATCATCAGTAAGCTCTGAAAGGAAAAGTGGGTGAGTGTGGAGGGGGAAAACAATCCTTTTCTGGTTTCCACTATTTGATTATATTTTGAGGGGAGTTCCCAGAGGAAATTGAGTCCTGGGATTCAGAAATGCTTTCTCTCTGGAGCCCTTCTCCGGGTTTGCTTTCTGTTGTGCCTAGCTTTTCCCACCTTTGCGTTTCTATGGGCTCTGATCCTTCGCAGAGGAATCCAGGACCTGAGAGACTAGAGAGCTCAGTGGGTTCATAGTGTTGTGTGAGTATGTGAAGTGGTGGTACAGTGCGTGTGAATAGGGTAACATGGAGATTCAGGAAAAAGACTTGGAGTCTGGAAATTCAGGAGTCTTAGTGAACAGTGTGTCTCTCTTCCTCCTTTGTTGAATACCCAGCTTCCTCAACACAGACTGTAAGATAAGGTATTTTTGTTGTTGTTAGGTGCTGTTGAGTCAAATACAATTTAGAGACCCTATGAGCAACAGATCTGAATCTTACCCTGTCCTGTGCCATGCTCATCGTCTCTGACATGCTTGAGGCCATTGATGAGGTGTTAGGGAGCAGAATATTGAGTTTTGTACCTGCTTCACCCACCCTCATTTCACCTAGCCATCAGAAGGTAGAGAGTCCTTACTGTTGCACGTTATGTTGCAGATATTTTCTGAAGAATATCTGTTGTCTTTGCAAAACTTGCTGTTCAGCTGGAAGATCCCATAGTCACTGCTGCCTTCTGTGTTTCTTCTAGTACAGGCTTGGGTATTGAAGTTACTTGCGTACTGAGCCATGCAGACCCCTGTGTCAGAATAGGAAATACAGTAGAAAGGGGAGAGTGCTCACAGATGAGAGGCCACTCAAGGGAAAGAGGGCATGGTGTTCTGAATTAGAGTTCCCAGCAATGCAAGCCCATTTAGTTCTGAGATAAAGAGAGGATATCCTTCATATATGAGATGATGCAATCTACTGCTTATTCTTAGTAGCAAGTGATAATCAGCCCACAATAAGTGGCAATATGGAAGGATTTTATGGGCAAAATATTGAACTACACAGGAAACATCAAATGGAGAAAAGACAATTATACACCAAGAAAGATTTGGTCTGCATTCAACCATTTTAGGAAGTAGCATATGACCAAGATTTGTGATATTGTAGGGAGAATTTAAAATTGTATTGACAGCATTGACAAAAACCAAGTCACCAGGAATTGAAAGAATGCTAATTGAGATGCATTAGCAAACAAATGCAATGATGAGAATGGCTCATTGTACACCAACAAATTTGGAAAACAGCTTCAAGGTCCACTGACTGAAAGAAATTCATATTTAAACCTATTCTAAAGAAAAGTGATCCAATAGGATGTAGAAATTATCAAACAGTGTAAAAAAATTATATGTAAGTAAACTCTTGTTGAATATAAAGAAAAGACAGTTGCAAGCAGTACACTGACAGGAAATTTCCAGGAATTCAAGTCAAATTCAGAAGAGGATTTGGAACGAGGGGCAGTATTGCTGAAGTCAGAGGAATCTTGACTGAAAACAGAGAATACAAGAAAGAATTTTATCTGTGTTTCATTGCTGAGTATGCAAAGGCATTTGGCTGTGTGGAGTATAACATATCACAAATAACGTTAATCAAGCAACACTTAATTGTGCTCATGCTCAACCTGTACTTAGACCAAGAGGCAATGGTTTGAACAGAATAAGGGGATATCATGTAGTTTAAAATCAGGAAATGTGCATGTTAGGTGTTACATCTTTTCACCATATTTATTTAGTTTGTACACTGAGAAAATAATCTGAGAAGATGGACCATAAAAAGAAGAGTGAAGCATCAAGATTGGAGGAAGACTCTAGTGAATGTGGAGGGGACTTGAAGCACTTACGATGAAGATCAAAGACTGTATCCTGCAGTATGGATTACACTTCAATGTAGTAGAAAGAAAACTCTTCACCACCGAATCAATAGCAACCAGGATGCTAAGCAGAGAAATGTTTGACGTTATCAAGGCTTTACTTTTATCTGCATCCACAGAGTCCATGAAAGCAGCAGTCAGGAAGTCAAATGACATACTGCATCTGGCAAACCTGCTGCAATAGGCCTCTCTATGGTAGTAAAAAGCAAAGATTCCTCTTTGAAGTTGAAGATGTGTCTGATTCAGTCACAGTATTTTCTTTGCCTCACATACACATGAAAACTGGACTATGAATAACAAATACTGAAGAAGAATTGATGCCTTTGACAAATATTGTTAATTCAAACCTCAAGTTGCCATAATCAAGGATGCTTTAGGAAGAACATTAAATGATCCAGGAAGTATTAAAAGAAGATGGAAAGAAAAATACTGAGTCACTGTATCGAAAGTAATTGGCAGACACAGAAGAATTTAATGATAAAACATATGAGCAAGAGACTATGGTGATGAAAGAAGAAGTTCAAGCTGCTTTGAAGGAAATAGCAAAAAATAAGACCCCAGGAATAGAAGATATACCAATTAACATATTTCAGCTAACAGATGTTGCCCTGGATGTGCTCACCAAGTTGTGCCAAGAAATCTGGAGAACAACCACTTGGC